GCTTTGGCTTGACGCCGGGTGTGGTGCATCAGTTTCAGCTTGACCGAACAGGTTGGTTGCGCCCCTTGACGTCCGTTTGGGGGCTTCTGCAGACCTGACCCCCCAGATGTACTCGACCGCCAGCTCGCGTCGACGCCCGTGGGCCGCAGCGGCCCCCTCTGGCCCTGCTCCCCGTCGCGTCTGCCCGCGGGGCTCCCTTGTTGAGGAGGCGGCGGCCACGACGGATGCCAGGCGCCCGTGGACGTCGGTAATCCGCTGGCATACGAACAGCATCGGACTTCGTGGTGCCCTGCTCCATGCACGACTTGCACTCGCAGAGCGGCTCGTGGCGGCTGTGGAACCACGGGCAGTAGAGTGGGGGCAGGCGAGGACGCGGCCCCTTCACACGCTCGCGGATCTCGACCACTACGGCCGTCCAGCGCCTGCCGTGCATGGAGAGGCGAGCGGCGCGGGCCAAGCTCTCCTGCGAGGCGGCCCCGGCATCAGCGGCGCTTCTGGGGCAGCTCCAGTGCAGGAGGCCCCAACCACTGCCGCTGGCGGGCTGCAGCCGGCCCTCCAGGAAACGGCGGGGCCAGGGCACTGCTCTGTCTGTATAGGGACTCGTCGCGGCGTGCACGCCTGCCTCTCCGCCCTCCACCCGTGCAGGGCGCGCGCGGCCTCTCCTCGCGCCACCTGGGCTTCGGCCTCTCTCTCCCCCCTCCGCATGGGCTCTTCCCGACTGTCGGGGGAAGGCGCGCGTTCCACGGCGCCTGCTGCAGCGACAGGGCGTGAGGTTGTGGCCACTCCACCCACAATCTGGGGCCAACAACCGGCGGGACCCCCTCCTCCTACCACCTGGGTCCTGGCCTCGGCAGCTCCGCTCGCTGCCAGGGCCCTTCCCGACGTCGGGGAATGAGCGCGCTTCATGCCATGTGCTGAGCAGCAGTGCATGAGGTTGTGGCCACTCCTCCCGCCAGTTGGGCTCTACAACCCGCGCGGAACACTCCTCCAACCACCTGGGTCCTGGCCATCTCAAGGGCCCTTTCCGACTGTACAACAACAACAGTGGGGCATGCAGCACCCGAATCCGAATTGCCTGCGAAGTCGCCCACGGGCTCGAACGCGTCGTCGGAAGTCCTCTGATCCCGATCCGCTTCGAGGTCCCGCAGCTCCTGCTCCAGCGAGTCCGGCGGCTGCTCCCTGAGTCCCACCTCGATGATGTCAGGATGCGCCGAGGGGGTCTGGAGGGTCTCCGTCCTGGTACGGGGCATCCAGCAGCACGTGGGGGTCTCCCGCTCCTCCTCGCGAAGTGAAGTGCGCCCCAGCGCCGGGGCGAAGGGGAGGGGCCTCCCGCTGCCAAGCCGTCTGTGGGGCCGGCAGCCCGTTACCCCCGGCCCTGAACGCCACGTGTTCCTCGACGCAGATCTCGATCGAGAAGTTCGAGAGATCCACGCCTCTCTCCGCGCCCGGCCGCTGCCCCTTGGCGGCCGTGCGGAGCTCCGACGACAGCGCCGTGCGGATCCGCCCCTCCAGCGCGTGAGCGCGAGCACGACGCGCCACGTTGGTCCTGAGACGATCCACCCCAGGCGGAACTCGACCTGCAGCCAGGTGCTGCAGCGCTGGGATCACCGCTGCAGTGCGACCTGCGAGCGCAGCGTCGCCCACCAGGCTCGAAAGGGCGGACTCGGCGAGAGCGAGCCGCTCCTCCGTCCGGCTGCTTGGCTGCACCCACTTGCGTTGCGAACGGCACGGTCAGCAGCCTCCCGAGCGCTGCCACGCCGAGCCCTGCGCGCCGCCGCCGCCGCCTCCCAGGCCTCGCCCACGGGTGCGCCTCCCGCAGCCACCACGCTCGCACCTCGCACCGCGCCAGGGGCTTTCGAGCCAGCATGGGCCAAAATGGCAACGGAGGAATGCGATGGAGGAGGGGGAGGAGGGGGAGGGGGGGGGGAGGGGGGTGGGGAGGGAGAGGGGGAGGGGAGGGGGAGGGGGAGGGGGAGGGGGAGGGGAGGGGGAGGGGGAGGGGGAGGGGGAGGAGGAGGAGGAGGAGGAGGAGGAGGAGGAGGAGGAGGAGGAGGGAGGAGGAGGGGAGGAGGAGGAGGAGGAGGAGGAGGAGGAGGAGGAGGAGGAGGAGGAGGAGGAGGAGGAGGAGGAGGAGGAGGAGGAGGAGGAGGAGGAGGAGGAGGAGGAGGAGGAGGAGGAGGAGGAGGAGGAGGAGGAGGAGGGGAGGAGGAGGAGGAGGAGGAGGAGGAGGAGGAGGAGGAGGAGGGAGGAGGAGGGAGGAGGAGGAGGAGGAGGAGGAGGAGGAGGAGGAGGAGGAGGAGGAGGAGGAGGAGGAGGAGGAGGAGGAGGAGGAGGAGGAGGAGGAGGAGGAGGAGGAGGAGGGGAACATGAGCAAGGACAGCACTCGGCCGCCGCCGAATAGGCAGCCGAACGGGCCCAGCTGCACCATGGAGGTGGGAGCTGGGCTCGTTCTGCCCGCCGATGTGGCCCGAAGGGGCCCCCTTCGGCGCCCGAGTGGGCTCAGACACGGAGTGTGCCCAGGAACGAGCCTTGAGGCATCTGGTGTTCCGCCTTCTCCTCACCGAGTTCTCCTTTTCCTTCCTCCTCCTCACTCCTTCGTCAACCAGCTCCTTCCTCCTCCTTCGTTCCTTCCTCCTTCCTCTTCCTGACGCTGCCGGCAAGCCAGGTAACGGCAAGCGGAGACACACCAACGTTGCGTATCGACCGTATGCTCTTGTGGAGCAAGCAGCTTCGAAGATGGGGGACCTGGAGCTATACAACGACATCGTGGCGACAGGTATAATGAATTGGAGGCTGCATTGCGCGAAGCAGCCAGGGAAACAGCACTAGTGTCGACGAGATCGAGCAGGAACGGCAAACAACACGACTACCTTGATACGTAGATTTTTGAGCGGGGGGATATGTCCTCACGGTAAGAACCTCAAGGGGGAGGTTTTACGGATACGGAGACAGCACCAGAGACAGCGAATTGGTAAAATGCTGGTGGAGTTCAAAGGGATCAAACACATGCCGCGGGCGACGTCCATTCGAAAACGAGCTTTTATCGCAGAAGCAGTGAACACGTCTGTGGAAGTTCACCATGACACGCAGGCAATTGCGGACGTTTTTGCAGGTTTCCTACGATGAACCATATTGGACAATTGGGCCGCTGTGAAGGTATTTGTCGGTTTGAGTCGTGCCGAGGTTCAGAGAGCGCCTTCCTCTGTAGGACCACCCAAAAAGTGGCGTCAAAGTGGTCAAACGCCTCGCCGATTAAGCCGACGAAGGTGTGCAAAGTCCAACCATTCGCTTGTGTCCAACATTTTGGCTTGACGCCGGGTGTGGTGCATCAATTTCAGCTTGACCGAACAGGTTGGTTGCGCCCCTTGACGTCCGTTTGGGGTGTTCTGCAGACCTGACCCCCCAGCCCTGTTCAGTTGTCGGTTGCTGCCACCCATTCTTTCGGGAACTGTTCAGTGGGCCCTCGCAGCGCCAAAGCCGAGCAACCATCCGCAGGTCTACCTGCCGTTTCTGGCGGCCCGTCGTGCTGGCCACAGCAAGCATGCGGCGCGGGCCCGATGGACCAGTCATTAGCGGGCGAAGATTGGTATACAATTAATTTGTCCGTCACCAGGGGCGCTGCCCCAGGGCGGCAGGAAATTTCATACCTTGACGTGCCACCGTAAGGGTATAAACTTTGCAGCCGCCCTGGGACAGGCGCCCCCGACAGCAAAAACGTTTATTTTATACGGTTCTTCGCCCGTTAGAATCAGGGCAATCAGGGTAATCCGTGGTAATGCCTTGAGCATCAGGGCAATCGCGGAGGCCACGTCCTCTTCCTCCCTCTTATCCTTCTCCTCCTCCTCCTCTTCCATCTCTGGGCGCAGCGTGTAGCCACTGCTGCCCTGTTCCATGACTTCGTGTGGGGTGCACTCGGGCGGTGCCGCTACTCGGTGTACCTGTTCAGAGCAGCAGCAACAGGACCTTTTAGACTGCTTATCCAACGATTCCTTGAGCGCTCATCAGGGAGTACGCTCCCAGATGATTTTCCTTCGCGGGATGATGTCCATCCTCATCCAGTCCGATTGGCTGGGACTGCGACAGAACCCAAGCCGAAACGCGCGCGTGGTTCGAGTATATGTGTATATACATATATATATACACATATTTGTCTTTGGGAATCCCTTAGGCTGATTCGACGCAGCGAGTAGCGAGGGTTCTTCTGGTGGAGTGGCACTGCGGAGTCCGATCCCGCCCGATCAGATGCATGTACGTATGTATGTATGCATGCATGCATGCATGCATGCATGTGTGTATGCATGCATGTGTGCATGCATGTATGTTTGTATGCATCTATGTATGTATGTGTGCATGCATGCATGCATGTAAATTGGTATGTATGTCTGCATGCATGCATGAATGTGTGTGTGTGCATGAATGCCTGTACGCATGCATGTATGTACGCATGCTTGTAAGCATGCACGAATGCACGCATGTATGCATGTATTTATGTATCCATGCATGTCTATATGTATATGTGTACCGACGCATTTACGTATACATGTTTGTATGTCTGTCTGTATGCATGCATGCATGCATGCATGCATGCATGTAGTTGATTGTTTATGTACATGCGTACGTACGTACGTACGTGCGCGTGCATGCATGCACGCATGTATGTATGTATGTATACAAGCATGTTTGCATGTATCAATGTACATATGTATATATATATATATATGTATGCTTCGGTGTAACCGTGCATGTACGTATGAATGCGCACGCACGGGCGCACGCATGCACGCACACACGTACGCACGCACGCTCGCACGCTCGCATGCATTCATGCATGTATGTGTGTTTATACGTACGTACGCGCACACGCAGGCACGCACATCTGTATGTATGTATGCATGCATGCGTGTATGCAGGTACGTATGTGTGCATGTGTATTTGTATGTGTGCGACGGTATGTGTGTATGTATGCTCGTACGTACGTAGGTATGAATTTATGCATGTATGCATGCGGGTATGCATGTATGTACGTACGTATGTATGCATGCATGTATGTTTGACTGTATTTATGCATGTATATACGTGTGCGTGGTTGTATGCATACATGTATACACCTATGTATGGTTGTATGTATGCATGTGCGTACATATGTATGTATGCATGCACGCATGCATATACGTATGTATGCATGCATGTACGTATGCATGCTCGTATGTCTGTATGCATGCACGCATGTGTGCATACTTGTGTATGTGTATGTGTATGTGTATGGGTATGGATATGTGTATGTGTATGTGTACGCGTATGTGTATGTGTATGTGTATGTGTACGTGGATGCATGCATGTATGCATGCACGTATGTATGTATGGACGGATGTATGTATGTACGTATGCATGTATGTATGTATGTGTGCATGAATGTATGTATGAATGAATGAATGTATGTATGTATGTATGTATACATGTATGTATGTATGCATGTATATGTATGCATGCATGCATGCATGCATGTATGTATGTATGTATGTATGTATGTATGCATGTACGTATGTACGTAGATATGCATGTATGTATGCATGCATGCATGCATGTACTTACGTATGTATGTATGTATGTATGTATGTATGTATGTATGTATGTATGTATCTATGTATGTATGTATGTATGTATGAATGTATGTATGTATGTATGTATGTATGTATGTATGTATGTATGTGTAGGTGTAGGTGTAGGTGTAGGTGTAGGTGTAGGTGTAGGTGTAGGTGTAGGTGCAGGTGTAGGTGTAGGTGTATGTGTATGTGTATGTGTATGTGTATGTGTATGTTTATGTGTATGGGTATGTGTATGTGTATGTATGTATGTGTTTATGCATGCATGTATGTAGGTATGTGGGTATGTAGGCATGCATGTATGTATGCACGCATGTATCCATATACACATACATATGCACGTACACAATCCATATATCTTCGAAGATTCTGGCGAGGGGGCCGAGGAGGTGCGTCGCCTGCTGCTCCCCGCAGGTGGAGCCCGAGACCGCGGCGACCTTCCCGCCCAAGCTGGACCTGAGCGGCGCCCAGGCCCTCGTCGTGGTGAGCTCCCCGTACTTCCCCTGGCGGGGCCCGACGGCTGCGCACGGGCGGCCCCCCTGGAGGAGGACGTGGGGAGGAAGGGGAGGGAACAGTCACGGAGGGAGGGAGGCAGGGAGTTGGGAGGCGTGGGGGCGGGGGATTGTGATGATGGTGATGATGATGACGATGACGATGATGACGATGATGATGATGACGACGACGACGACGACGACGACGATGATGATGATGATGATGATGATGATGATGATGATGATGATGATGATGATGATGATGATGAGGGTGATGAAGGTGCCGATGATGATGATGACGATGGTGATGCCGACGATGATGCTGCTGCTGCTGATGAGGATGATGATGTTCAGGATGATGATGCTGATGCAGATGATGCTGATGATCACGATGATGACAATCATGATGATGACGATGCTGATGTTGATGATGATGGGATGATGATGATGATGATGATCCTGATGCTGATGCGGCTGATGATGATGCTGTTGCTGCTGCTGATGATGCTGTTGCTGCTGATGATGATTATGCTGATGCTGATGCTGATGCTGATGCCGATGCGGATGCTGATGCTGAAGATGGTGGCGACGATGATGATGGTGACGACGACGATGGTGATCACGATGATGACGACGATGACGACGACGATGATGATGACGATGACGATGACGATGACGATGATGATGATGATGATGATGGTGGTGGTGGTGGTGGTGATGATGATGATGATGATGATGATGATGATGATGATGATGAAGACTATGATGATGATGATGATGATGATGATGATGATGATGATGATGATGATGATGATGATGATGATGATGATGATGATGATGATGAACATTATGATGATGATGAAGACGATTATGATGAATCTTACCATGATGTCGATGCTGAGGACTATGCGGACGACGATGCTGATTCGGTTGACGGCGGTGATGACGAGGGCGCTCCCGCTTCAGCTTTTTGGATCAGGAAGAGGGTGATTATTGCCTTGGTGGTGATGGCAAGGACGATGAGGCTTATAATACTGTTGGTGGCGATGATGGTGATAGTATGATGTTGAGGAGGGGGACTTCTTCAATGTTCGCGCATTCTTGGCCCTCCTGGGGTACCTTCGCCGCAACGGCTTGGTTCGCCTCGACGTCCTGGTCTGTGCGCACCCTGGGACAGGTCGGGGGACGCCTTACGACTACGCCTTACGAGTTTGCGGAATGGAGATCCACCCCCGTTGTTTCCCCGATTCTTTTGTCATCAGCGGAGACGCGAATGCACGCAATGTCAGGCCCCCCCCCCCAACAACAGCACGACGGGTGCGTCTGTCCGAATTCGCGGCTTTCGAGGCCTGTGACAAAAAGTCTTGATATCGGAGGCCTTGGCAGGGGAGGCAGGGGGGGGGGGG